GGTGGGCCCAGCTGCAGCTCCTGGGCAGGCGGTAGACGCCGGCGGCGTAGACCAGCTGTTGGTCGCGCACCTTCCTCTGCAGGTACGCCTGGAGCTCCTGCAGGTCCACCTCGGCCAGCGCGGGCCCAGTCATCACGAACATCCGCAGCATGCTATAGATGCGCTCCAGCGACAGGCTCTCCAGGTTGGTCAGCATGGCCTGGATGTAGGTCCAGAAGAGCTGGGGACGGCACAGGTCAGCAGGTCCCCAGGTCCCCGGTGCCCCGCCCTACCCCCAGAGCCCACGCACCAGCAGCTCCTCCTCCTTCTGGTCAGCCTGGGAGGCCAGACCCGAGTCGCTGTCATCCTCACTGTCGACGAGCACCATGCTGTCGCGGTCCTGGGGCCGCTCCTCCTCGACAACAGAGAAGGTGCCCGCGGGCTCCTCCCGCAGCACACCCTGCTGCAGCCACACGGACATGCGCCGACGCAGTAGCGCCACGGGCATCCTCACCACCTCACTCAGCTCCTCCAGGGCCCAGCTGGCTGAGAGAGCAGTCCGCGTACAGGCCCGCCATGGCTTGCAACCCTGACCGGCCTGCCCGGGGAGGGAAGGGGCTGCCACCACACCCTCGATAGAGGGCAGTGCAGGGCAGTGGCCCCGGAGGTCCAGCCAGGGCAGACCAGTGGGCCGTGGGCTCACCTTGGTCCTGGAAGTACAGCAAGACCACGGCTTGCACAGGGGTCACAGCCACAGACAGAGTGCGGTCGGCCAGCTCCACATCCATGGTCACCAGGCCCAGGGTATGCTTCCAGCTGAGGGTTCGCATGGCCTGAGGGTGACAGCGCAGGTGGCTGATGAAGCCCAGGTCCAGACCACCACCGGCACTGGCAGAGGGGCTCCCGGCTGTCTGCCCGGCTCCTCAGCACCACGCTATAGCAGGGCACTGCTGGAGGCCGGCCAGGCCTACCACTGCTGCTGCTGTGGGTGTGACTCGTGGGACGAGGTCACACGGAAGCAGAGCAGGCCCAGTGTCCTTGTGTGGGAAGAACATTGGGCCAGGTGGGCAGGGAGAGGCCATGCAGGCAGGGCTGGGGACGCTAAGGAACGGTGGCTTGGAGACGAAGACGGTCTCTTCTCCGCTCTAGCACCTAGCCAGCACCGACCTGGCACATCCAACACCCACAGGGCGCACTCCCAGGCTTTCAGCAGCTGCAAGTGGCGGAGCGGACATGTCTCACGCCAGGAAGCGGGGTTGGAATGGCAGCTGCAGCCCCACGACCCAGTGCCCGTGTGAGCTGCTTGAGAATAAAAGCAGTTGTCCTGACGAGGCTGCTGGTGGGGACAGGGCGAACAGTCCCAACCTGTCTCCAGCGACAGAGACCATGCTGGTGGAGCCTGAGGGGGACGTGGCAGAACGTGGCCACACTGTGACCTGGGGGTGGGTGGCTGGGTACAACGTCTCCCACCAGCGAAGGGGCCACCTGGGTCGTCCTTGCCACTTCCGGTCAGAACCAAGGAAAACATGAATTAAGCGAAGGACCCAGCACGCGCCAGTCCAGGACGTCTGGCTCGGTAGTCTCTGTGGCGAGGCCACGGATGCGCACCGGAGATGAGGCTCCTGAGAAGGACCCGTGGAGTACGTGTTGCCCGTACCGGCATGCTCTGAGGCTTCGCGCCTGTGGAGGTGCCATCAGCCCAGTGACCAGGTAAGTGGGAACGAGCCAGGGTAAGCCCAGGCACTCACGGCCCCGGCTTGGAACGGGGCTGCCCTGCAGGCCGGGACAGTGTGGGCCAGGCAGGGCACCCAGGCCCAAAAGCCGACAGGCTCCCTCACAGGCTCTCAGGCCCGTTGGAACCCACAGCCCCTTTGTCGGTTTCCCTTGTAGAATGCAGGTGCCTCACCACAGACGGGCGATCTGCTCCCGGCTGGAGGGGTCCCGCTGGACCGGGCACACCCCAGGTCTCACCCACAGCTGGCAATGGGGCTGTCTGGGTGCCGGGGTTCCGGACTCGGTGCAGGGCCATGCCCAGCGTGTGTGGGCCGCTGAGCACATTCTGGTGTGGGTGCATGGCCATCCTGGGGACCACAGACCGGTCTAATATGGGTTGAACCGTGGACCCCCACCCCCCCAAGAAAGATAAAAACAAACAAAGCTGCAAGCCGGCTTGGTGCGCACCACACTTG